ATTAGATAAAATTTTAATTTGAAAATCTTGCATGCAACAGAAGCTAAGTATGGAATGGAAGTACCTCCCTACAGCATGTCTAGCTAAGCTTAATTTAAGTCCAATTTACATTTTAAGTAAATTTTTAAGCGAACTCTACATGGTATTATGAAGTTGGGTTGGAACAGGCTGTGCCACGGCTCAATATGCTTGGATAGATTACTTTTCTTTTATTTGTAAAGGAAAAAACGTTGGTCATTTTGGTGGCAACGCTGAAGTTACTTGTAAGTAAAGTTCTTGAACGGTGAAACATGCACCGAATGAAATGAATTCCTGTGTTTGGCCATTCCCCGTGTGAACAATTCGGATTTCAGACGACCCCAATACCTGAACCTCTGACTTTTTAACATACGGGACATAACCCACTTGGAGTTGATAAATGGGAAACCTGACTATTCATAGCACGATCACATGCTAGGGAAACATTTAGCAGAAATTCACATGGACCCTTGACTATTTGCTGTCTTTGAGTGTTCCCATATTAGAAAATTTGATGCTGTATGGCTCTTCGCAAGGGCATATTTTGTGCCCTTTTCTAGAATTTATGGACCTTTTGGATTAATCTTGTCCAATTTTCTTGCATAGTGGATGTTTCCAAGAAAACTAGAATTTTGGCTCGGTATTCCCCTGCAGATAACACGTTGGCCTCCCTGTGAAGAGCAATACATGTTAAGATGGTAGATTTGGTTAAAAATGCTGGTTATTGTTACCTCCATGGCTCCATCCCCTTCTTTGGTATCTCAACACTGAGAGAGTTAAGAGTCCTGCTGTACTTGATTCTTCGTATTGAACACATTAGTAGCTCAAACTTTACTTATACACAAAATATTATTGGACAGAAATAGCAAGGGAAAAAAGTTAAAATCTTGTTTAGTGCTTGTTTGTGCCCCCATTATTTGTGCGTAATATATTATGAAACTGTGATTGATAGTAAAATATATGGTTAAAAATAAAAGAGAATTTTTTATTTACGTGTAACATTGTTTTAATAAAGAATGTGTGGTTAAAAATGAGTACTGTAAAAAAAATAAAATAATGTGATAAAATGTGGAAGAAATAAAGACAAACAAAGCCTTATTGTGCTGTTTAATCTTGTCTAGTATTTTCTTATCCATTAAATAATATTCAAATTTCTATCAACGATAGTGACACTATTCAATTCAAGTTAACTAAAAGAATATGTATATAAAGTTATGAAAAAACTGAAAATATCGGAATTTTTTACCTCTACAGAATTATTTTTTATTCATAAATCAGGACTATCTTCATATATTTTCAGGCTGGATTGTTCAATCCGACACAGATAGCATATTATGTCCCTATTTGAACCTCATTGTTTTAAGAATAAATTTTAGAAAATATATATATATATATATTTTTTTTTTCTTGGAGAATCTATGATTAAAAATATGGAAATATTTCAAATTTACATATAAAATTATTTTATTGAAAAATATGATTGAATGAGTTTTAAAAAATGAAGTTCAAAAATAGATTACAACTAGTCAATTCATTTGAATAAGATCGATTGTGGTCTTGCCACGATTATAGGAGACGACTTGTTTTAATACTCTACTATTGCCCCCCACATCCAGGATTGAATTTAGCAGAGATTTCAATTTTGATTTTTTTAACTTTGTTGACTTTGTAGTACATTGCTTTTCTCTATCTATTACATTTTTTCATTGTGAATTATGTAAGCATCACACAATGTGCCACAACGAATAAGACTTCTAAAGTATACACTTCTCATTTCTTGAGTTTCGAACACACGAAAGTATTGGATTGGTTCAATATTTGGTTAATTACGACATATCGAATAAAGTATATATTTCTAATTTTTTTTGTACCTTAACTTTGAGAAAACGGGAAACTATTCAATATAAAGCTTTTCTCTATATTACTCAACCCCACCCCCACCACCACAGCCCACCTCTTCTTCCAGGGACGGATTTGGGGGGGGGGGTATTTTTTTAGTTTTCTTGGCAAAAAATCAGTTTTTTATGTGTAAATTTTTTTTTTCCACGTAGCAGCCCGATTTGAAATTTTATAATCCGGTTTTGGATCCAATCCTGAATCCGTCCTTGTCTTCTTCCTTTTCAAACCCTTTATTAGCCTATCAACTCTATCAAAAAAATGGAGTTAGTTGACCACATGACTTGATTCATTGTATGGAATGCATGAGAATGGGATAGATCTAATTAAGCATAAGTTAAATTTTGTTATTATACTGTTCAATGTACAAAAACAATATTCGAGTTCTTAACCATTTGGATTGATTGACAATATTTTTTGAATTTGAAATATTTCTTGACTTTTTTGGCCAAAATCTAGAAGCCTATCTTAATCAAAAATCTATTCTTTCTATGATCTATGATCTAATGGTCGGGGATTTTACCATTACCCTACTTTCTAACCATTGGTGGTAGGAATAACACATTTTTATGCTGCAATTTATTCTATTTTCTCGTTCCTCACATCGACAATAAACTTAGACAACAATCGATCCTCAACAAGAATTACTTATTTTTATTAATTTGCTAGTTCATTTTTAGATTTTACGTCATGTAGTCTATTCAAACAGCGCTCTCACAAAGTACAATTGTCATTCAGATTTTTGTGAAAGAAAGAAAAATGTAGAAATATTTATTTTCGAAAAAATGAAAAATGAAAGCGGGACTGGCACTTTGGTCTTCTTTAGGTACAAATCAAAGTCATCAAACCCACCATACCATAGAAAAAAAATGGATTCCAGGTTGAAGATAATTGGACTAGGAACTTGGTTTGTGCCTTGTCAAAATGGATGAAAATTTTCTTAAATATAATTAGGCAGGAATTTTTTTATTATTGTGATAATATGAACTCAGACTAACAAATTGACTAGGAAAAACTATAAATAATAGAGTTTTCGGTTAGCATCAATAAATTAATTTAGATTTAGTTTTAATTGTTAAGAATTAATCAACATTTTCATTACATACGGATAGACTTTTACTTAAGATCAATGTCTTAAATTGATTGATGAAGTCTATATTATAGCAGTCGCGATTAGATTAATGAAATCTTGTATATTGTACCGTCTAATTTATCAATCAATGTTACCTATTTGATATGTAATTGTTTGTTATATCATTTAATCCATTTAAAAATTAAGCTCCTGCTTGGTGAAAATTAAAAACTAAAATCTAAATTTTAATTTAATTCAAAGTAAACAATGAATTTTAATCACATATTTTATGGAATCCATAACTTTTCAATTTCACGTTTTATCAACTTTTATTTATTATTACCATTCTATGACATGAAAATCTAATATATTTTTAAGTCTTTGTATATCAAATTTCTAAAATTAAAGATCATAACAAACAATTTTTACAGAAATATAATTTACTTTTTTTCTTGAATTCAACCTTGTGCCAAAATTGAGGTATAAAGCCAGATGACAAATGTACATTCTTATCACATTACACGTTGAAACTTATTTGTGTCATCTTAGAATTTCCTCAACAAATTGAGTTTGAATACTCTCTTAAGTTTATGCTATATTTTATGAAATTGGAAGGTATAATAAATAATTTATTCCTTTAATTCTTTAATTTTGTTCAATATCCATTTACAAAATGTTATATGTGTATGTTTGGTACAAAAATATTAGACATGATTAAATAATATTGAATTAAAAAAGAGTTAGAAACGTAATTCAATTTGACTACTTACCAACCAAATATGAAAGGAATAAAAGTATGCTGCATGAATAAGTATTCAAATTTGGAACTTTGCTAAATTCTCGTAATCTGGCTAACTCAACTGGATTAGACTCACACTCATATAATTTTATTTGGTTGACCAATTCTTTTTTATTTTTTTATTTTTCGTTAAGAAAATATTTGCTAGAGACAAAAATGTGCTACTTCATTAAAAGTTAACTATAAGAATGTGACGAAAAAAGTTATGAACATAATTGTAAAATGAGCAACAATTGAGGACATTTGTTGTAGTTAAAATGTGGTACAGTTTACAAAAGTAATCATGCTTATTTGCACACTTTCTTTGACATTGTGTCACTCTTCATAGTATGAATGGACAATTTTAAAGTGAAACACATCTATTTCAATTTGAAAATCAATGAAGTGTGAATCATGATGTAAACAAAAGAAAGTATAAGTGGCTTATTCCTTTACAAAAGTTGTGGTATGAATATAATTACCAAAAATAAAGCTGTCGAAACAATTTACTCAAATCCTTGGTCTTCGTGGACACGAGCCGAGCTTGAGTAAGCTTGTATTTTATTTAAGAAATTAATAAAATAAGTAAAAAAAAAATTTGATTTCAAGCTCAAGACAAATCAGCTCATTAAAAAAAAATAAAGTTTGGCTCAACCTAGTTGAGTCGAGGTGAATCAAGCCCATAAGCGACTCGACTCATTTGCCACCCTCCACCCTGTCATTTTGAAATCCAATTTAACTCATTCTTTTTTATAATACTAAGAGCATGTCCAGAAGGCTCTTTAAACATGTGATGCTATCTATTTTAAAGTTAACCTTTAAAATTATACTCCAAGAAGTTTTTTTAATTAATATTTTAATTTAGAGATAGCTCACTTTCTATAATTAAATGCATTAAAATTATTTCAGTTTTCAATGTAAGAAAATAATATAATAATTTAGAGAAAATTGAGTTAAAATAAAAGATAGAAAAAAATAATAAATATTTTGGGAAATAGTAAAATTAAGCGTTAAATATAAAAAAATCTATTAGAGTGTTTCTACCAAACTCACCATCTATAATTAAATGTATTTAAATTTTCAATATTAAAAAATAATATAAAAATCCTGAGAAAAATTAGTTAAAATAAAAATAGAGAAAAATAAAGAAATAAAAATATTAATTCTTGAGTCCCAAAAAAAAAAAAAAAATTGGAAAATTTCTTATATTATTACCGAACAACGTCCTAAAGGATATTCATCGAACAACGTTCTGCTTGATATCTCGAGTTTCTCGTGTCACCGTCTTCAGCCTACCATTTCTTTTTTCTCGCCCCTAAACCGTGTTCACACCTTTCGCACATGTTTTTCAGTCTCCATATCTATCTGTATCCATATGTGTATGATACTTTGGCTCAACTTTTCAAACTCTCAGTCTGTACCGTGACAAATTTGTCTAATGTGTTCACATTTCCATTCACACATTCCGTCAGATAAATTAAGTGCACCAAGTATATGAAGCTTGTATCGTACCCAGAAAAACACAATTACTCCACCTTGTAGTGTTGCAAGAAACCCATATCGAAATGAATGAAAACAAGCAGAAAAGGCGAAGGAAAAGGGAGAATGCAAGCATTAATGACGAAGAAACTGGTGAAAATCAGGGTGAGGTGAAGACGAAAGATTTGAAGGAGATCTTAACCTCATTGATTTTGCTTGAGGGTCAAGAAAAGAACGAGCAAGAAGAGTTCGCCAAGGCGAATAGGGAAGAAAGGATTCAATTCGAGGAAAATCAGAAGAAAAAAACACGCACAATGATGGATTATTACTCGAAATTTCAAGAAAGTCATAAAGACTTGGATCAAATTGATGGGGTTAGAAGAAGAAAAACTCGCGCTAAGGCTCTCACCGTTGCAATTGGTGCAATAACAATGGAGAATTCAGTTTCAATTTCTGATGAGAATAGTAAAGATAATCGGAGTAATACAGCAGCCAGGGCCGGGGCTGGTCCCGGCCGGCGGCTGTGGGTTAAGAATAGGTCGACGGATTGGTGGGATCAATGCAACAGTCCTGAATTCCCTGAAGAGGAATTCAAAAGGGCATTTAGAATGGGGAAAGGTACATTTGAAATGATATGTAATGAATTGACTTCTGTTGTGGCAAAGGAGAATACTATGTTGAGGGATGCAGTTCCTGTTAAGCAAAGAGTGGCTGTATGTATATGGAGATTGGCCACAGGGGAGCCTCTTAGGCTCGTTTCGAAGCGATTTGGATTGGGAATTTCGACTTGCCATAAGCTCGTGCTCGAGGTTTGTTCTGCGATAAGGAAAGTTTTGATGCCCAAGTATTTGCAATGGCCTGATGAGGAGAATGTGAGGAGGATTAAGGACGAGTTTGAGGCCATTTCCGGGATACCTAATGTGGTTGGATCAATGTATACGACTCATATACCGATCATTGCCCCTAAGATTAGTGTGGCTGCATATTTTAACAAGAAGCATACTGAGAGAAATCAGAAGACTTCATATTCGATTACTGTTCAAGGTGTTGTTGATCCAAGGGGAATGTTTACAGACATGTGCATTGGTTGGCCGGGATCAATGCCCGATGATCAAGTTTTGGAGAAATCCGCGCTTAACCAGAGGGCGAATGCAGGGCTCTTGAAGGGTGTTTGGATTGTTGGGAGCTCTGGATACCCTTTAATGGATTGGATATTGGTGCCTTATTCGCAGCAGCATTTGACGTGGACGCAGCATGCTTTCAACGAGAAGATCGGGGAGATTCAGAGGATCGCTAAGGATGCGTTTGCGAGAGTGAAAGGGAGATGGGGTTGTTTGCAGAAAAGGACTGAAGTGAAACTTCAGGACTTGCCAGTGATTCTTGGAGCTTGTTGTGTTCTGCATAATATATGCGAATTGAGGAACGAAGAAATGGAGCCGAATATTAACTTTGAGCTTGTGGATGATGAAATGGTCCCGGAGATTGGTTTGAGATCAGCTAATGCGATGAAAGCTAGGGATACAATTGCTCATAATCTTTTGCATCATAACCATGCGGGAACATCGTTTCTATCATAGGAAAATTTCATATCTTTCTGCAAGCGTAGTATTGAACAAAATTAGACGATGAAGAAGGATTTAGGTAGACGACCGTATATTTTATGGGGAATAATGTTTAATTGTTGTTTTTGTTGAATGAAAAATATTACATCTGGAAATGTTTTGTGGCTTTGTCCCATTGTCGCAATCTCTGAGGGGGGCTAAAAGCAAGTGTATTTTTTTTTATTTTTTTTTTTTGTGCCTTTGAGAAAATTAATGACTGTTGTCTTGTAGGATGGAGGAGTCATACCATAGAAATCAAAGACGCATGTGGGCGAACTTTATTAATTAAAAGTCATTGTCTTGTGTTCTTATTCTTACTTTTGAATAATATTTTCCAAAGTTGCCTTCAAAAGCACGGTATAAACACAGAATTTACGTGGTTCGATGCTTGGCTGTAGTTCATGGGCATAGACGAGGAGAAAGCTTCACTAATACAAAAATGAGAAAATAGGAAAGAGCAATTAACTCGATTTAAACAACGGCACATAATATTATCTTATTTGACAGTTTAAAAAACCTTTTTTTTTTTATCCAATGATTTTTTGACAACAATGCATATGTCAACAAGTGTGTACAAATTGAGTGTATGAATGGCAAAGTCCAACTCGAAATGCTTTAAAATTTATACAAGTCCAAACATTTTAGAAACTCGATAATTTGTTCAGTTATCAAGGAAAATGGCAAGAATCATCCCTTATTTCGAAAGTGATTATGGAAGCTAGCTCTAATTAATTATTGTTAATGACATCGACACCGCGTTTGATTGATGTTTATGGAGACCCTTGAGTAATAAGATATTTGTTGATTAGATTCCATCACTTTTAAATTTTGTTAACATGGCATGATAATACTGGTTGAATTTAAACTACTATGATCGGTTTTTTTTTTAAAATAATAATAATAATTATTATTTGACATCCTAATGATTTTTTTAGTTCTTTTCGACAATGAACTTTAGTGGATTGAAAGGAGACAGCTATCAAGCTTGTCCTCGAGTCTGAGTGGTGGGAATTTGTACAAACCCGCGGTCCTCAAAAATCAGGTATGGATGGTGCTGCAAGTATTTATAAATTCCTGCCAAACAACACACATGCGCAAGTCCCGACGTAATTTTTTTCCCCCTTTTTCTTTCATGTGGGGCTGCGTCTAAAGTGAGGGGTCGATAAGACCCCTGTAGAAAAATACACAGGGCATTTTCCTTCAGATATCATGTCGCAACTATGCTCCAAGAAAGAAATACTATGTGCGCGGCAATCAAATATTTTTAGCGTACTCTTGAAAAAGTAATGAAATTCTCATGATCTGACAGAGTTTGTCATTTACCCATCTAAACTCTATTTGCATGTTGTTACAGGTCAAATAAGACATTTATGCATGATTTGTTTGTTCAATTATCAAAGAAAATGGCGAGAATCATTCTTTTTCTATTATATTCTTTGCGTTGAAAACAAGGCTAGGTTTAATTAATTATGTCAAACGTGCAAGGCTACAGGGGGACCGTGCCCCGCATGAGCCATGATGGGTACTCGAGTGGGCCTGTTAAAAACAATCATGCTACATATGCGTTCTTTTTCATATTAAGTTTGACACTCTTTCATATGGTATTCATAGAAATCATTGATTTCTACAACATTCAATCATATTACTGTCCAGATTTTGATATATAGGAAGGAATGTCAATTATTGAGGTGAATGTAAATAATAATGTACATATAGCTTAATTCATTAGAAAAATTGGAAACATATGCCCCAAACAAGTTTGAGGTGCGCCAGGCTTGCCAAAAGAATGGCCTCTATCGAGCATACGTCGGGCCACCTTAAACCAGAGTTGTTCAAGCGGAGTTACACCCCTATTGCAACCTGTCATTCACTAGTCTTTGAAAAAGTTTATTTCGATCCATACTCTTTAAGTTTCCATTTCAAAAATAAGGCATTGACAAATATTTATCAAAAATCAGGTGTAGTCCACCCCCTTTCAAAATTGGATTGATAGAGTCCTTTCCTCTTAAAAATGCACCAACCCCAACAATCTTTTTTGTATGAGAGGTTTATCACCTCTGATAAAATTATTACAGTGCTACAAATCGACCAACGCTGACCCATTATCGGAGCTGAAATACTCTTTCAAATTGAGCAAAGTAGCATTGGCCTAGATCTGCAAATCGGTGGGCTTCAAGGAGATGCAAAGCTCGACCCTCGAAGTGTTCATAGAGATCACCACCAAAGTACTTGAAAGCAATAGCCAAGTTGGCTGCAAACTCTGCCAACTCTTGCCATCGCTTTGAATCGAACGTCCTTGACATCATTGTTTCCCTCGAATATTTAAATTATGTATAAGATATTCGAGGTGGAGAGAGATTTAGGGCACCTTTGATGCTGCAATTCGGGCACTGCTTGGCGTCACGAGCATCACGACTGCAATAGGGTAGGGGGTGTTTGTATGTATGAATGAATGATTGAGGATTCTGAAAGTTTGTGAATGGTTGATAAATTTGTGTTCTATATCGTGGAGTTGCATTGGATGCAGATTAAGTGCTGATCATTTGGGGATTTGGTAGTCATTTTTAATGTTCAAGATTTGTTAGGAATGGATTTAAGGTGGTGGAAGTGATTGTGAATTTGAGGTGAAAGTGCTAGTGGATTATAGATTTGAGGTGATGCAGATGATTTGGATGGTGATGGTGGTGACAATGATGGTTGTGGATTTGAGTTGAATATCGTGGTTAGTTCTTTCAGGATTGGAGGTGGTGCCAAAGATTTAGGTGGCATAAACAATGGGAGAGTGGGGTGAGGGTAGGTTAGATAAAAAGTGATCATGATCATTTAATTGGTAATTTATGACTTACTAAAGTATGTGATTTCCATCTAAACAAATAATTGTGATTCACAAATCTTTGTGATTTGTGCCTAATGTATGATTGTAACCATATATTATGTATTATTGTAACATTGACCTGCTTAATTAAATTGTATGTCACAATAATTTATCAAATGTCACAAAATATAACCTAATTTTTTATAATAAAAAAAAAATCCAAAAATTTGTTATTTTGAAATCTTTGATACAATGCCATTCGAATACTTGACTCATAAATCACCTTTCTAGTAGGATGTGTAATGGGCTGACCAACTGCAGTATTTCGAGGACATCCAATTGGTTATCTCGTGTCATCAAGCGCCCAATTGTTGCCTATCCAGGTCAGATGGTAGGCTAAAGGGAAAGTGTGCAAAGGAGATCCTCAGAACAGGGGACTCGGCTTTCTTGTCATCAAACTTGTAGCCTGCAGTTCAATGGCTTGATCAAATATAGATCATGAATGTNATACAATGCCATTCGAATACTTGACTCATAAATCACCTTTCTAGTAGGATGTGTAATGGGCTGACCAACTGCAGTATTTCGAGGACATCCAATTGGTTATCTCGTGTCATCAAGCGCCCAATTGTTGCCTATCCAGGTCAGATGGTAGGCTAAAGGGAAAGTGTGCAAAGGAGATCCTCAGAACAGGGGACTCGGCTTTCTTGTCATCAAACTTGTAGCCTGCAGTTCAATGGCTTGATCAAATATAGATCATGAATGTAATAATAGATACGACATTGAAAGAGCAATTTTTTGGTTATTTCTCGTAAGGCTGCATTGAATAACTGCAAAGTGATTGTTAAGCGTCATAATTATAGATCACAGGGGGCAGGGCAAGAACTACTACTGTGCTATGATTATCACTTATCCCAGAAATATGTAGTTACAAAGTCTATAAACATCATGGTATGGACTATAGAG